GATTTGGTTGTTGAGGTCTTCTGATTAAATGTAGCTGGATGTCCTAGCTACCATATGCCTTTAGAATTTCTGAATTTGGACCTGTATATACTGAGTTGTACTGATTACAGCAGAATGTAGTTTGCAAACCTGTTATTGCGGTTCTGGTTTAGTTTCTTGCGTATTTGACCTAGTTATGCTAGGAATTGGACTGAGTGACCTTCTACATTGTTGTAGCCCTGTTTCTTAGCTTCGAAACGGTGGGTCTTACACTTTCATCCGACAACCGTAGTGACCTTAGTGCCATTCCCGCAAAAATGAGGTCAAACACTGTTTTATTCAGGGCTAGTTAGTCCCATTTCCTGATTTTCTGGTTTCTTATAATGCTTATATATGCTTATGAAACCCTATTGGGGTTGTGATTGGTATTGCTTTATGACTCGTTATCGAGTCTCATTGTACTCATTTATGTGTTCTAGGGCGTGACGGTGGTTCACGACGTACCTTTGACGACGGTGCATGAAACATCATTTACTTGATTGGTGAGTATACTACTCACTTGAATGTTTATAATGTGGCTTTGCTATATGTGATTGTGATGCCTTGAAGGCTTATTTGGCTATTGGATATGATTAAGGTGAGGGTGTACTTGACCGCCCTCATCCCTTTTATCCTGTTAATGACTGCTTATCGTTTCACTGTAATACTGCACTTGCTATATGAGATATTGAATGCCATTCATGGGAAACTGTTTGGGTGTCGGCTGGACAAGTATCCAACGGCCCTACTGTATTACTGAGTTCGACCTCGTTGGTAGTCAATTGAATCGAGCCAGCGAGGGTTTGGTCGTGAAAATTGACTAGCCACGGGGACTGAAATGGGAATCTTGTGGTAATGAGACCCTTGTTTCCGGTGTACTCGAGTATCACCAAAAGCTACTGTCTGGAGTGCGGGCCCGGTTGGGGTATGTTGGGTAGAAGGAATGGAAGTGAAGTGGGTTCTACGGTTGGTATTCTTAAACATTGACGGAGGGTCAATGAGGTTGGATCAAGAATGTAAGCGTGGAAATGGGCTCTTGAGAGCCGTCCGTATCCTTTTACTGATTTGTTTTATTCCTTAATTGTGTACTTGAAATGAAAGGATATGCTTAAGTGATCTTTGTTGCTTATGTGGTAGTACATCACTGGGCTTAAGCTCATCCCGTTCCATTTGTTTTCCTTACAGGGATATAATTACTTTTGGGATTGGATTGGATAGTCGATTGCCAAGTTGAGCTAGTGTAAATGGCTTTTGTTTAGCTTGTTGAATGAAACCCTAATGTGTATTGGGTTCATTTTCTTTTGATTGGCAAACCGAACATGTATATCCATGATGAATGGTTTTTGGCATGCCATTTGGTTGTAAATGTTAAATTTCAATGTATATATATGTTTGGTGGATGTTTGGTTGAACTCCGGATCAATTCGTATTTCAAATGGCAAAGGAAAAAATTTTGGCCGGAATGAACAGGGCCCAATCCGGCCAGGAATCCGGCCAGAAACAGGCCGGATTGCCGGCCGGATTGCGGGGGAAAAAAGAAATTTTCTTGGTTGCTCTCGGCCCAGTATCCGGCCGGAAATCCGGCCAGATTCCGGCCGGATTCTGACGTGGCCGGTACTGTTCATTGTCGGTTTCGATTTTCGTTTTTTTATTTTGTGATTTTGTACTTGTTTGCGCGCGTTAGTATGTTCCGGAACGTATTAGATCGACGTAAACTGATCCGTTAGTCCTGGCGAGAGTTGGGCAGGCAGTCCGCTAACCCCTTTGGTTCGCCTCAGGGGAAGGTGAGGTTGTCACATATCTTTCCCATTTCTATCTTTCTTTCTCTATTATTTTCCATCTTTCTCTTCTCTTTCCCTCTTTCTCTTTTCCCTTATTTTCCTCTCCCGTACTCTTACCCTCATTATCTTCTTTCTTTCCTCTTTTTCTTGCCCCTCTCTTTGCTTACTCTTTCTCTCTCTCCCTTCTTCCTTTCATTTTTCTTCCTCTTTTCCTTTCCATCCCTTCTTCCTCCCTTTCTCTCACCGCATCTCTTTCGCTCCCTCTCTACAATCAAATATACTCGCATATGGGGAGAGGAGAGGTACGGAAGAGGGGGATGAGTGAGAAGAGGAAAAGAAGTGGTAATTGAGGAAAATGGTAAAATGTGGGTGATGGTAGTGAAAAGTTGAGAGTAGTAGCGGTAAGAGATGAGAGTAGTGGTGGAGGAAGAAATGGGTGGTGATATATTATTTTTATTTTTATTCTTTTTATCAATATAAAGTGAGTTGTACCTGGGAGTTTTTAGGTTATTTTGGAGTGTTTTTGAATTAATGTTATTGTAGAATTGTATTTGAAATATAAGATTTTCCAAAAACTTAGAATCCATCAGAGCCATAGTTATCCCTAATCGTTTTTGAAATATTTTGAAAGTGTTGTAAGATATTTTTAGGTTTTGTTACTATAGAAATATATATATATATATATATATATTAATAGGGCAAAATATCTGTTGGTTCTCAAACTATTAAATTTATACACTTTTAGTCCAATTATTATTTGTATATTTTTAGTCTTCCAACTTATAACACAGACATAGTTTGAATCATTTTTTGACCAATCATGTCCGGTCACAGTTACAATTACCAGTTGTTGGTCAATAGTCATTGATTGTCATTAACCAATGTTTGACAACTATTTTACTATTGTCAAAATTTATAAATGAAATTATATCTTTAGACTATATTTTTTGGCATACGTTCCAAATCTGGGTTTGGTTTTCTCTAAATCTTGATAGAAATGAGTAGATCTAAAATCAAATGTAGTTTTACCACTACTCCACAAGTCCTTTATCAAATCTTTCAAACTTTATATCAAAATATTTCCTGGAGTGATAAGAGTTCAAATTGACAAAATTTTGACACAAAATCCTCAAAATTTTTCTCAACATAACTTAGCACTCTCACGATCATTTTGGCCATCTTAAGATTCATTTGGTGTCAAATTCTATAATATTTTATACTATTCAACTTCTTATACCATGGTTATTGCAAAATATAATTTATTTGATCATATTTACATTGAATTAAAAACCACTCAATTTTGGACCATTCCTTTTACTATGTTAATTTACTAGACTTTCAATTTTTTTGCTGGTGTATTGTGCGTAATACAGTTTTCATGGGTTTTAACAGTTCAAATGAATAGAAGGGTTAGAAGTACACATTTTTAGAAATTGAAGGAATAAAAATTTGTAAATAATAGTTGGACTACTAAAAGTTTGACAAACTTAATAGTTTGAAAGCCAAACATATATTTTTCCCATATTAAAAAACATAAGGCCCGTTTAAATTAAGTGTTTTAAGGACGTTCTTATTAAACTTTAAGGATAGATGTGTGTTTTAATAAAATTTTTGACTTTATTTTTTGGATTAATCTTTTACATACTAACAGTATATACGCTTTTACTATTAGATGCATGACACATAATCTGAATTTGAATTTGAAATTCAAATTTTGCATATGTGTTATATATTCAACTGTGATAGTGTATATACACCGTCAGTGCATATAAAATTTACTCTTATTTTTTAGGAGTTTTTTTAACATGCTTTTAGAGTGTGTTTTCAGAAATGATAGAAAATGACTTTTATGCCCTCCACCTCTCTCTCTCTCTCTCTCGCCCCCTCTTTTCTTCCCTGCCATCTTTCTTTTTCTCTTTTCATCTACCAATTTTCTTCATTCATTCCTCACCTCCTCTTCCTCTCTATTTTCCACTACATCCTTCTTCTTTTTCTTATATTTTCCCTTGCTCTGCTCTTCTTTCCCTCTTATCTCTTCCCTTTCTCTCTTCCCTCTATCCTGATCTCCCTCTGCCTAGTCCCAATTACAAGTGTGCATCGAATTCGAAATTGATAATTCGAAAGTTTGAATTCAAAATTTTTTGAAATTTTAGTGTCTGATAATTCGACCGAATTCGATTTCGAATTCGGTAAATTCCGATTTCACCGAATTCGAAAAAATTTCTATATTATTATATAATACAAAATTTATCATATAAGATAAAATTTATAATATTATATAAATTTTATATAATATTATATAGTATAAATTTTATATTACGTGTATAAAAAAAATATTTATATATTAAAAACGAATTTGAAATCGAAATCGAAATTCGAATTCCGATTTCGAATTGTGAATTTGAAATCGGAAATTCCGATTTGAAAAACTCCATTACCGAATAAGAACCAAATTTGCAATATATGAATTCGGAAAACCCGAATTCGATTCCGATTTTCGATTTACCGATTTCGAAAATTTTGAATTCAATTCGAATTCGATCGGTAAATCAGAATTTTTCGATTTTGCACACCCCTAGTCCCAATCTGATCTAGATGAGCAAGGGAGAAAAAAAGATGAGATCTATTGGGCTCACTCAACAATTTGAGTATACATAGTATATATGGTGGCCAAGGAACTAAAGAGAAATAAGGGGAAAAGAAATACCAGAAGTGGGGACAACAGTAGAAATGAGAATCAAACAGGAATATGGAAAACTCTGTGGGGGAATGAATGTAAAACACAAGTTGAACCACTTTATATGGAAATGCCTAAAAGGAATCCTACCTATAAATGGAGTAATCAAGACCAGAACAGGAAGAGGAGAACCAATGTGCAAATGTTGTGGCAACCAAGTGGAAACATTGGAGCACATGCTTTTCTACTGTGAAAATGCAGAGGCAATATAAAAATGTACTCCAATAAGATGGGATGGACTGGAAAAGCACAGAGACAACTTCTGGCACTGGTGGAATGAACTTATAGCGGTAACTCAGAGAAAAGATGGGTATGATCATATTGCCTTAACAATCAACATACCATGGCAGATTTGGAAGGCAAAAAATGAGTTCCAGTTTAACACACTAAAGAAGCAACCAATAGCTCAAATCAATAAAGCTTTATCAGAATGGCTAGAGTATAAGGAAGTGCAATCAGATACAATGGATCAAGAAGAGTGTAGTGAAATAAAGGAAGAAGATAAAAGGTGGATACCATCAAGGGAAAGATGCACAAGAATTAACATTGATGCAATAGTACAAAAATCAAAAGAAAAAGTTGGATGGGGTATAGTAGCTAGAAATTTTGAGAGAAAGCTCATCATGGCATGGGCAATGCCAAACAAATATCTCTCAGTACTAGTGGTGGAGAAAGCACTAGCCATACAAATGGCTTTGATAAAAGCAAAACAGAAAGGATGGAAGGAAATAGAGATCCAGTCAAATTGCAAAACTATAATAGGGAAGCTACAAGAAGACTCAGTTGAGGATGTCAACTGTGCTACAGTTTTGGAGGATATTATAAAGCTATGGAACGAGTTTGATGTTTGTCATTTTTCTTTCATTAGAAGAATAGGCAATGTAGTTAGTCATATGTTGGCAAAATTCGCCATGAACTTGATCACTAATGTAACCTGGGAAAGAGACTTCCCAACTTGGCTCAATATGTCAGCCAAGAAAGACAGGACAAAGCAGTTGATCTGAATTTTGTAACAAGTTTTTTAGTGAAATGACAATTACCATTTTTGGCAAAAAAAAAGGAGCGGTTGGGTGAGAAGAAAAATGAAGAGTGATAGGAAAAAGTGGAGGATGATAAGGGTGGTTGGTAATGAGGGTGTTGTAGGTGTAGTTTTTGTGTGTGTGACTTTTTTTGTATTTCAAATTATTTTGAGGTGTTTAGGAAGGATTACTGGTAGATGTATGTTTTAGCAAAAAAAATGTGTTGCCAATATAGACTATCCAAACAATAGGGCCTGTTTGGAAGTCTAGTTTTTTACCAAGTTTTTTTGCTACTAGTTTTTAACAACTTTTGCTACAGAAACTCAAAAAAACTTATCAAATTTTTTAACCTACACACTTCAAAATATCTAATACACAAAAAACTTTCTATTTCCTTCTTCTTTCTCCCCTGTCCCAATCCACCACACCATCATCGCCGGCCACCACCTCCGCCGCCGGCCATCGCCGCCGCCACCTATTCTGGTGCCGGCATTCCTCTTTTTTTTTTTCTTCCTTTCTCCCTCTCCCTCTCCCCCTCTTCCTCTCCTTCCCTCCCCTCTCCCCCTCTTCTCCCCTTCCCCTTCCTGGCCACCCTCCCCACCAACGTTGAACAGTCGCCGCCAACCCTCGGCCACCAACACTCGTTGTCCAACCCTCACCGCATGCCACCCATCGCTTCCTCCATTCTCTCTTCCTCGCAACCCACAGCAGCCACGATTGCCGACGCAACCCACGGTAGCCACGTACCGCCGACGCAACCCGCGGCAACTAACTTTCGCCGACGGTCCTGAACCCAATCTAATAACCCATTGCACAAAAAGGGAGATGGAAAAGAGGAGGAGAAGATGGGGAGAGAAAAAAAAATTGTGCGTGCCATGGCTGCTGGTTCTCTAACTTCGAGTGGGAGAGGAGGAAGGTGAAGCGGAGTAGAGGGGGAGAGGGGAGCAGAGAGAAAGAGAAAAAGAAAAAAAAAATTTTGAACAAGGCTGCTGGTTCATCGGAGGCAGAGGTAACGGAGGAGGGAAAGGCCAGGGGGAAGGAGGAAGAAAAAGAGAAGGAAAGAAAAGAAAGAAAAAGAAAGAGAAAGAGAAAACGAAAGAAAAAAATATGGTAGGACCCTGGTTGCTGGTTCGTCGGAGGCAAAGGTTAACGGGGGAGGGAAGGGATAGAGGGAAGGAAGAAGAAAAAGAAGAAGAAGAGGAAAGAAAAGAAAAGAAAAAGGAAAGAAAGAAAAAAAAGTTTTTCATCTTAAAAAATTTTTTCAAAAACTTCTATAGTGCACTACAGTAAAATTTTAGACAAACTTCTGAAAAACTTAGGTTTCAAACGGGATCATAGTTAGTTGATAACAACTACAAAAATGTTTTTGCTTGATGAAGTATAGGAGGCATGTGTGATTGCAGGTGCAATCGTCCAATAGTGTCAATCTTGAAAGAAACCAAGCGACTCGGTCTACCTAGATTATTTACATCAAAATTAAAGGAATTAAAATGAACGACTTGAATTGTTTGAAATGATACGGCACGATTTGGACTGTTAACATGTAGTAAACTAACTATTTCCTGTCATTTTTTCGAAGATTGAAGCAATGAGAGTTTCCAGTAAAGGCCCACGGTTGGGCAACGCCCAATTTCATCCTAAGTAGGAGTAGGGCATCTGCTAGATATGTAGAAACGTCCCACTACGCTCCAAGCTCGACACAAATTCAAGACTCTGTGCAAGTTGTTGGGTCACTTCACAAGAAACAACAAAAGCCTTGCATAACTAAGATGGCCAACAATTGGAGCCCATTTCAGTTAGAGTAGCATTGCTCTCTCTCTCTCTCTCTCTCTCTCTCTATATATATATATATATATATATATTATGCAACAGTCCGAATCTTGCCGACTTAAAGCTCCCACTGACATTCTCAGTCTCTCAAGTCTTTAACCACATAGTGATAAATCAACTATTAACATAATATGCTAAGTTAAACCATTAGAAAAGCCTTTTATTAATCCTCGGTGAAAAATTAATTGTAGTGGTTGCTGTTAGTTTTGTGAGACAAACTCTCGATTATCTGAATGGGGTTAGTGTAGCTGAGCCATTAGAGTAATAGGTTTAATTATGTAAAAGTGTAGAAGATCATAATAAATTTTTACATGTAGATATACTTGTACGATTTCACAAATAAAAGATATATCATTTCCTACCTTTTGTGTCTATAATAACCCTAGAAGAAGTTAATACGTGGGCTTTGAATGAATGACAAATTGAGATGAATGATTCACTACTATTTGCTTGCTTGGAGAAAATTTCATCTCATGGAGTTCTTATCCAAGTTTGTGAAGTGTAAAAGTTATTAATTAGTCAAACCCTTCAAGATATTAGGACCCTGGAACTTCCCATTATTGTTGGATGCTTAAGAGAGCCATGACTGGCTGACTAGTGTATTTCACAAGTTGGATGCGAGGCAAATTGCCAAATTTGGGTTGCATGGTTTGTTGCCTGTTGGGCGTGAAAGATTTCTTGTCTATTTATGGTATAACCTGTTATGTACTATACAACATGATTTCCTCATCATTCCCTCCATCTGTTCATGCTGTTTTACATTGAACTTGGGAACATCATACAGGAGTTTATACACTTCTGAGAACCTTATAAAAGAATAAAAAAGAAACAAAAATTAGAAGCCGATAATACATAAGTTGAAAAAGAAAAAAATTCAGGCAAGAACTCATAAAGGTGCAATATTCTCTTTATGCAAATTGCAAACAGTGAACAGACAATAATAATAATTGTTCTTTTGGGATACGTGGTACTACTTTTATCTGGTTGGAACTGTTGCATGAGTATGATTAGCATGCTTCAGTTAAAGCAACCCACATTTTTAGTGGCTCCTAACTTTTTCCAAGTGCCATTTTCGTTCCATCATTCTCAACTCAAAAGCTACCTCTCTCTGTACTCCATTCTGCATATGATCATTGCAGTAACTTTAGTCTTGTATTGCTTCAGATGCCTCTCCTGAAACATATCTTTCCTAATTTTCTTTTTTTGTGAAGTAGTAGTTAAAACAAGATTTCCTGCATGGGTATCGTTCCGTACAAAAGTGTTGACACTGTAGCCAGCCAGCATGCTCAATTGATTTGCCCCCCTTTTCAATATTCAAATTGAAAAAGTTTCTCTTTACCAGGTTGGGCTAGCCAGCTGTCGTTCGTGTTTCAGCCTTCAGGACAAGGACAAGAGGTTGCTTATGTCCTAAAACGGAAGATGCAGAAACAAAAGAAGCAGAACAAGGAAATTATAAAGGTACACCAGAAGGGAAGAGGGAAGGGAGCATAATCCAATTTGTAGCTGTTTAGCAGTACTGTTTCTACTTGAGGGAAATCTAGATGAGGTAAGGAAGAGTTTGAGTTCTGATGTCGCAGAAGAGATGGCACCTATTTTGCTAGCTGCTAGTAAATTCAATTTAAGCAAGCTACCAAAGCAGGTATCATCTCTCTGCAACACTAGAAACTGCAACTTCAATGTCATCATGGCCTGACAACTCTTGTCGTAATAGCACTAATGTAGGTTGCAATTTGCTTCTCAAAGGTGAATCCGCAATTCCCTTTCTTATTTTTTTAATCTTTGTCAGCACTTGGTAAACAAGTACGCGCATATGCTACTTCAGGTACTTCTTCAGTAGTTTTCTTTTTCTTGCTTTTTTTTTTTTGACAGCTCCATACAACTCTGCAGGTCTATCTGAAAAGACTGTTTCTTCTGTCAATTTTGATAACTCTGTTGGAGAAATGACAAGATTACTTTGTTGCTCATTCTTCTTGTTTTTGTTTGATTGGTTTAATTCGTCCCTCTTACTGCCTTGCTAATGGAGGAAAAAATTGACAATGATACCATGCAAGTTTGAGGCTTCTAGCCTCATCTGAGGCAGCACAGGAATTGGGGCGGGGGAGGACTCTCACCGGTTGAATTGCTCATTAGAAGTTAGAACAAGTAAAACAAGGTTTTGGCAACACATTGTGTTGATTGATATTGTAAGGATTTTTTTTTATACACTATAACATCTTGAACATATGCGTCTCAAGATATTAGTTCTGGATATCCAGCTTTGTGAATCTTCAACAATTTATTCTACTAGAACCATTACATGAAAATTTTGTTTTAAGTGACTAGAACCTTTACTATAATGAATCTTTACTCTTGAAAGGATTGGGCTTTGAACCTCATAGAATAACTTAATTCCAATCAAACTCAGAAAAATGAATCATCCCAAAAGCAAGAACACAGATTAATCAAAGAAGAATCACAAGTCCTCTCAAACCAAAAAGCAGCCCAACTCATCTCTCCACGTAACACAAAAGATGACTGCAAATATGCTATAATAAGCAAAGCAACCAAAGGGATACAAGTAAGGACACCAAATTCACATATGGATTGGTTAACTTGGTTGCACCCGAAGGAGGGGATGGAGCAGGACCAGTAGTCACCTCAGCTGTGGTATTTTCTTTTGAACAAGTGTACTTACACCGACTTGGAGGAACAACCCTGTAGACACCACTGCTTGCAAGGATATAAACATCCTTGCTGTTATCCTCACCAAAGGAATAGATGTATCCCAATGCCGGAAGTGTACTTCCAGGTACAAAGGTGCAACTTATAGGTGAATCATGAGCACAAGTAAAGGGGATCAGGTTGGAGGTAAAGTTCCCACTGTTTTCAGGGCTTTCAATGCCAGCCCACAGAGCTCCTGCATAAAGATCTGCATACAGATACCTGCAGTAACATCAAAATCATCATAAGAAGCCAATTGATAAGAGAGTATTCCATGAGGAGATTGTACTAACAACAATTCAAACTCCCCTCTGTGATTGCAAATTCTGCATCAACCATGTCATACTGAACTCTTTGTTCCTTTTACTCTCTCAATGTGCTGATTTCAAATATATATTCATCTTTCCAAGACAAATTTGACATACTTACATTCCGTATGTGCAAGGATCAGTCTC